CAGCCTAGCTCACAGCAACCTCAAACTCCTGGGCTCAAGCGATCCTCCTGCCTCAGCCTCCCGAGTAGCTGGAACTACAGGCATGCGCCACCATGGCCGGCTAATTTTTTCTATATATCTTTAGTTGCCCAGATAATTTCTTTCTATTTTTAGTAGAGACGGGGTCTCACTCTTGCTCAGGCTGGTCTGGAACTCCTGAGCTCAAACAATCCGCCTGCCTCGGCCTCCCAGAGTGCTAGGATTACAGGCGTGAGCCACCACGCCTGGCCCTGAATCTATTTTTTAAAGAAAGACATAAGACACACACTTGAATCCTAGCATATGTAAATTATTTTATAGAGTCACAAAGCCCCCAAATCACTTGCTACCTCAAAATACCTATGTTCTGCTTTCCTGACCTAAAGTGGGAAAGCAAGTTCAGTGTAGAGTAGAACTGTGAAGAGTTTTTGCTTCTCTCTTGTCCGAAGAATGTAAAATGTTTGGAGTCTTCACCTTAGGTATATATTTCATAAAGTTTATGTGTTTGTATTCAATTTTGAATCTATAACACTGCATTTGAAATTCAGCCAGTTTTAACCTCAAGAATAATGAGAGAGTTTTAAAAAGATAAGCTTAGTGGTAAACCAATGATAATAACTTGCATTAGCTGGTTACAGTAACTTTTACATAATCTCAGTGTTCTATTCAGGAAAACTCAATGAATTAGGAAAGATATATAATACCCATCTTACAGATGAGAAAGCTACACGTATAACACATGTCCCAGTTTACAGAACAAAAACTCTAAGGCCTTCCCTGCTAGAACCAGCAGGGAAAACTTTGTATGCCAAACAAGAATTTTGCTGATTTTTTGGGGGGGTTATGCAATTTAGAGAAAATTCTTTGCAATTTTTAATCCATAGATTTTAGTTTTTCCATTGGCTAGATGCATTTCAATAGGTAGTGAAATAGATCTTTTTTTTTTTTTTTAAGATTTTTCATGGTTTTTTTAATTGACAGATAAAATCATCTCACAAGTTCTCTATTTCTTAAGTGAGTACAGGAGATTGCTTGTACTGTTTAGAATAAAGTTACTATTTATAGGCAGGGATAAAAATAAATGAGATCATAGTCTACCATTTGCTTCTTTTCTTTAAATGTTTCATAGAAAATTAGACTGGTTTAATTTGTAATTTTATGAGATAAACAATAGCTCTAGAATAATTTTAAAATACCTAACAGATGTTTGTTTTAATAAATCCATTTCAAAAATACTAATATACTCCTAATGTGTAACAAGCAAGCTCTGATATCTTCAAAAATAATAACCACAGTATGTGAATTGGGTAGTTAAAATTTTTTTATTAGGATACAAATTGCTAAAGGCAGCAACAGAGAGCTGCTTTGCCTGCAAAATATGCTGCTTTGACTGCAGTTGTTGAAGCATTCGTGAGAAAATTTAAAATTAACTGGACTGAAATAAATTGGGAAAGTTTTTGCCCACATCTTGATTGTTAGTTCTTATAAATTTTTGCTATGTGACGGCATATTGCTCTGTTATGAACATAATACACTTAACATTTTCATTATTTGTTCTCTGCTTAACATTTTCCAAAATGTCAAAGTTGCCGAGCACAGTTCCTCTCTGTTGAGAAGGCCAAGGCAATAGGATAGCTTGAGCCCAGGAATTCTATGATCACCGCCCCCCCACCAAATAGCCACTGCACCCCAGCCTGGGCAACATAGTGTGACCATGTCTCTTTAAAAAAAATTTTTAAAAATTAAAAAGGTCATGCTGGGCACAGTGCATCATACCCATAATCCTACCACCTTGGAAGGCCAAGGTGGGAGGATCCCTTGAGCCCAAGAGTTCTAGACCAGCCTGAGCAATAGAGGGAAACCCCGTCTCTACAAAGAATAGAAAAATTGTCCAGGCATGATGATGCGCACCTATAGTCCCAGCTACTTGGGAGGCTGAGGTGGGAGGACCACTTAAGCCCAAGAGTTTGAAGTTGCAATGAGCTATGGTGACGCCAATATACCCTAGCCGAGGGGACAAAACAAGACCATCTCAAAAATTAAAAAAAAAAAGATCCAAATTTAAGATAAGCAAGTTATTTGTGATGAAAAACTCCAGTATAAAAGTTGGACCTTTGGCAGGAGTTTTGAGGTTAAGTGAGCTATGATCATGCCACTGCACTGTATCCTTCATGAGCAAGAAAGACCCTGTCTCCAAAAAAAAAAAAAAGTTGTATATTTGAAACACTTTTAGAATTACATTCCCATCTCCTATTTCTCTTAACATCTGAAAGTTAACGTAAGTAGTACCATTAAGTTAGAAATGTTATCAATTAAAGTAAGTATGAATGTATTTAAGCCTTGATCTCCACTAGTCTTTCTGTTCAGTAAAATATAACTAAGTTTTATTAGAATTTAAAATATAGCAGTATTACCATTTATAACCAAAGTGGAGTGATTTAAAGTAGCCATGTTCAGGATATGCTCTGATTAAGTCCTAGGCGTTCTGTTGAGGCCTCAGATACTGGCAGGTAGGAGGGGTGCTTAGCTTTTATCTATTTCATAAGTTGCCTTCTGAGTAGTATTTCATTTGAAGAAAAGATTCCACTGCTACAAGAAGTTTGGAAACCTCTGATTTAGAATAACTTTCCTCCTGCTTTTTGTAGTTCTTTTCTTTGAGGTGCAACTGTGTAACATAATGGTAAGAGTACAAGTTCTGGATTCAAACTAAGTTTAAAATTTGATTCCACCACTTCTAATTAGGTGACCTTCGATGAGTTATTTTATCTCTTTAAGCTTCAGTTTTCTCACCTTTTAAAAACAAGGTGTTAATATCTACTTTATAGGGTTGCCGTGAGCATACGATTATATAGCTTTTTTCAATTAAGCTTTTGGGATATATATATACTGACAGCTTTTAATATATTATTAACAATTTATGTGTCTGCATATTTTTGAAGTACAGGTGTCTGGATGAACACAATAAGGAATTCTCCACATTCTCAACTTTATCCTTAAGTCCCTAATCACAAGCGACTCTACACAGACTTCGTAATCCTGAAGTGTTAAGTCCATTTCCCTGAGCCATTCTTTTCTAGACTATCCCATTCTAGTCCTATCTAATGAGTCCCCTGCAGCTTTGTCCATACCTTGTCAATTCCTTTTGCTTAGTTCTCAAAGCTTTGCTCTTCCTCTGCCCCCCTCAGCTACGGAAAGTGATGACTTCCATCTACAAACTCAGTTTTTTTTTTGTTTTGTTTTTTTTTTTGGAGACAGAGTCTTGCTTTGTTGCCCGGGCTAGAGTGAGTGCCGTGGCGTCAGCCTAGCTCACAGCAAACTCAAACTCCTGGGCTCAAGCGATCCTTCTGCCTCAGCCTCCCGAGTAGCTGGGACTACAGGCATGCGCCACTATGCCCACCTAATTTGTATATACATATTTTTAGTTGTCCAGATCATTTCTTTCTATTTTTTAGTAGAGACGGGGTCTCGCTCTTGCTCAGGCTGATCTCGAACTCCTGACCTTGGGCCATCCACCCGCCTCAGCCTCCCAGAGTGCTAGGATTACAGGCGTGAGCCACCGCGCCCGGCCCTACAAACTCAGTTTTACCTAATTCCCATTCCAGTCTTGACCAAGTCTAGCAATATGTTATGAACCCTACAAATACTAGGCTGCTCTAGGACAAAGAACTAAAAAAAAAAACCAAAGACAGTATGAATCGAAGATATCAAACCATGGGGACTCATATTAGATGGTATATTTTGTGACAGTAAGACTAATTGCGGGTCCCCAAACTGCTGTAACTACAGTATGCTTACCTGCCATCTATCTATGACTAAAGTCTCAATTACTTATATTTGGACGCTAAGGACAGGGACTGAATGCCCAGTGAAAAATAGAATGACACTAGTGATTACAGTTAAATGAGACATGATCTTTCAGGGGTCATTTCTATAGTTCGTTATATATGTAGAGTCAAGTAACTTCTGATTTTTGTAAAGTTTTGGAAATTCTTTATCAACTGCTTTTTAGAAATGTCACATCTGTGAGGTTCTTCCAAGGGATGTCCTTCTTTGTCTTCTCTAATCCCATCTGGTAGGACACGGTGATTGAGGTACATATCTTTATTCTAGTCCATGGAATCATTTCCCTGGACTAGCAACACTTGAACGTATTTATCCTTAGGGGCTTGGGTTCTTGACAGTTGAAAGTACCATAAAAACTACTTACTGTGTTTGGGACCTGGAATTCCTGACCATTTAAAGCAGATCTCAGTGAAGTTTTTGTTGAAAAGGACGGATGTGTGCTCTGGTGCAATCCTTACAGACTTAGCAGAATTTAGAGCATTTGTGCCCTATTAGACAGACATCTAGGTTGGACATTATTGTTTACTTGCTTAGTTAGTGATTATATTTTATACCAGATTATAAAATTTCAGAAAGATTCTATTCTTTCTTGGAAGAAACTTCCCTGGAGGACCATATAATCACACCATGCATTATTAATCCCAACTGACTTCCTTGGCACTAATCATATTTTCAGCTTCACTACCCATATCTACCAGGTATCTAGTAGCCAGCCTCTAGTTAGTTCACACCAACTTCTCTGCTAAGGTGAATATGTATATCCAGGGGTCCCTGTGGAAGTAATCATATCGGTTATCTTGGGCTACATTATGCCATGATAGCAAATAAGCCTAACTTAAAGTGACTTACAATCACAAAGGTTATTTCTTTATTACATTATACGTACATCATGGGTCAACTGTGGCTCTGCTCCACGTTGTCTTTGTTCTGGGACCCAGAATGACAGCAGTCCCTGTTTGAGACACGGCTAGTACCATGGCCAAGGACTAAAAGAAGCCTAATGAATCATAAGCTGTTTCTTTGGGTTTGGGGGTTTTGTTTTTTGTGGATTGGTTGGTTGGTTTGTTCGTTTGTTTGTTTTGAGACAGGATCTCAATCTGTTGCCCAGGCTTGAGTGCTGTGGCATCATTATAGCTCACTGCAACCTCCAGCTTCTGGGCTCAAGCGATCCTTCTCCTCAGCCCCCTGAGTAGGTGGGACTATAGGCACGTGCCACTTCTCCTCAGCCCCCTGAGTAGATGGACTATCTAGCCAATTTTTTTGTAGAGGAAGAGTCTAGCTATGTTGCTCAGGCTGACCTTGAAACTCCTGGCCTCAAGTGATACTCCCACCTTGGCCTCCCATGCTTGTTCTTAAAAGCTAAAATTTCTTCCTCGAAGTTTCCCCTGTAATACCTAGCTCTTTTTAACGATTCTAACAGCCACAAACTGAGGCTTATGCTCTCTAATGTTAATTGATTTTTGCTTTCTCACCTTAAATCATAAACTCTGACCAGTATCTCATCCAGTTTTGTCTCTTCAGTGATGATCTCAGCATTCTTACTCAGATTTCTAATCCTTGTCACATCATTGAGTTCATTACTCTGATGAATTATGATTTATTTCTACATAGATTAGACTAATCTCTTAAATTAATTAGACTGGATCAGGTGTTTTATCCAAAGAATGGCCCAATTCTCAGTTCTGAATTCTCTTTGCCTGCATTATTCCCTGGATACACATGGCTCCACTGAAAACCTTAAAAAAAATTTTTAGAAAGGTGTGTACATTGTTATAGTCGATTAATAAATATCTTAGGGATACCTTTAAAGCGTATTTCATTATATAATTGTTTACATATTTGATAAAATAGGAAATTAGATTTATTACTTTGAAGTTAGGAAAATTTTCATTTAAAAAGTGGCACTTACAAATAGATATGATATTTAAAGCCCGTCTCCTATCATTGTAAATATTTGGGTCACTTGACCCTAACTTTTAAAAAGTAAATTCTATGAGACAACTTCCAAAATATTTATTTTTTTTCTTTTCTTTTCCTAGATCACAGGAGTCTCCTGGAGATGGACAACCTCCAGCTTTGCCACCCAAACAATCTAAGAAAAACAGCTGGAACCAAATTCATTATTCACATTCTCAGCAAGATCTAGAAAATCATATTAATGAAACATTTGATGTTCCATCTTCCCCTGAAAAACTTACTGTAAGTAGCTTCTTCAAATTTCTCACTTTGAATTTTTTAAATTCTAAATGAAATTTCTTTTGTACTGTGGCATTTTTTAGTTGTAAATTGTATTACAGTACTTCCTCTTTTGTAGCATATTCTTTGGTTATGAATTGTGCCATGATGTAACTCAGTATAAATTCTATAATTAGAAGTGATTATAGGGAATGCAGGGAGTATATAAGAGGAACTAATTCAGCTGTGGGGTTAAGGGAAGATTCCCAGCAGAGATCATCTCTGACCTGCATTTTGAAGCATAAATAAGAATTAGCTAGATTCTTTCCTTCAAAGAGCAAGCACACAACATACTAAGTGAAAAAAGCCAGTAACAAATAGCCATATGTTATATGATTCTATATACGTGAACTATCCAGAATCCATAGAAAGGATTAGTTGTTGACTAGGCTTTGAAGAATAGGAGGTGAGGGAATGGGGAGTGACTGCTAATGGCTACAAGATTTCTTTGGAGGTTGATGAAAATATTCTACAATTAGATAGTGGTGATATCTGTACAATTCTGTAACTATAGTAAAAATTATTGAATTATATACTTTAAATGGGTGAAGTGTATGGTATGTGGATTATATCTCTTGTTTTTAAAAAGCACATGTATCAAGCAGAGAAAGTATCATTTGAATTCCTGTAACATTTATGAGTACTTGATATGTGCTTTTATATATATATGTTTATATGAGAACCTGGCCAGGTTGTAGGAATATAGCAATTAATAAAGATAGGCATGGCCCCTGTTCCTCTTGGCATTTATAGTCTAGCATGTGGTGGCAAAAATGCATGAGAGAATATGTCCAATTTGACTAACTGCAAGTTATTAGTCAAAGAAATTTACTTTTCTGAGCTAACAATTTGATTAGAATTATGATTCTTTACATACTATAGATAATATAAGCATACAAAAAGCATGCTTCATGTATACCTGAAGGATAGATTTTAAATGAAGACAACTAAAAGTTATTTATTTTTTGTCTTTTTAAGCCAAATGGTGGCATTCCACATGATAATCTTGTTCTAATCAGAATGAAACCTGATGAAAATGGAAGGTTTGGATTCAATGTAAAGGTAATCTAGAATTTGTGTTGTACTTAGTTTTTAAATCCAGATGTTCTTATTTTGGTAATATTTGACTAATGTTTGACTTGCTATCTTTTTAAGGGAGGATATGATCAGAAGATGCCTGTGATTGTGTCTCGGGTAGCACCAGGAACACCTGTGAGTTATCTAAATGTTTCAAGTAAATTCTGTTTTCCAAGCATATGTACTTATTTTATCATTTTTTATTACTTTAAATAAAGGAATAAATTTATCATTTCTTTTAATTTGTCAAGTATCACATCATTAGCTGAATTTCTTGAATTGTTAGGAAGTTAGTTTTTATTTGTTCCCTGTCAATAAGAGTAAATCCTTGTTTTCATAAAGAAGCTACTTATGACTTTCAGTGCTTCTAAAGTGTTAACAGATTCTATCAAAATAACCCCCTTTAATAAAAAAATGTAAACAGAAGTAGAGTTTTAGGGGCTTTTTAGTTTGCTTGTTTATTTTTTCATTTAGAATAGCTTAAATACATTATATTTGCTTACTTTCAATTTAAGTCATTTATTTTTTTTCTTTGTTCTTACCACTATACAAACATGAAATTTACTTTAAATGGAAATCATACTGTAAGGACAATTTTTTAAACTTTTTATTATGAACATTTTAAACAAAAGTAGAGAAAACATTATATTTACCCATTATATTGAATACCCTATTACTTATCATTTGGCTTCGACAACCGTGAACTTTCTATTGATCATAGGACAAATTCTTAATTGTAGGTACATTATCTTTATTGTTGTTACATGTAGCAAATATTGCTTTCAAATTCCCATTTATGTTGTTGTCTACTCTGTTTAATTTCATTTTTCTTACCTAAATGGTCTCCATAAACCCTTCATCATTTCACTGTCTCTTTGTCCTAGGAAAAGTCTGAGCCAGCAGCCTGAGAGAAAGAGGCCAGCTTTGTTTTTTTCAGTGCTTTTCAAATTTAGTTTGAAAATCACAATCGAGATTGATCAAGGATATCATGATATGTGGTTTTGGTTCTAGTTTTTAAGGACCTTGTTGGTTACAAATAACAGGGTACTCAGTGGAGTACCCTGGCATAAGCATAAACACAAAATAGCTTCCTTAAGCATAAGCATGTCAGGTAGCTATAGAGATGTCGCACAAAACCTAAGGATAGGATTGCAGTCAGACCTCTAGAAGGAACTTTAAAAATCATAGACTCTGCTTTCACCACTGTTTCTTTTTATATGATTATTCCATTCTTCTCATTCAGTGGAAATTAATTTGTACACTGAATCAGCCTTATCTCTCAAGCCTCTCCAGATAAACACTCCAGACTAAATAAAAACAGTGTAATTAGTAGCAACTTCAAGCCAAGTCCTGTGGTATCACCACCACACACACTCAAGTTAGACGGTGACTGATAAATCTCCACTAAATAGAAATTGTATAGCTATCTTCTGCTACTTTAATCCTCAGTTTGTTTGGTAAGAAATGACTACTAATAACTTCCCGATTTATATATTTACCAGCATAGTAACCTATAGTGACTAAACCTCTCAGTCTAAATTATAAACTCCTGGGAAGTAAACGCTTAATAGATCCAACTTGGATCAGATGTCCTCATTTGAAAAGAGTCAGTTGTGGTTGGGGGAAAGGACATACATACATACTTATACATGCATATACATACATACTATGTATAAAATGACTTCCAGAGACATAGTGTGCATATTAAGGATGGAGACAAAGATGGTAGAGATAACCCAAAATTATTTAATGTACCTTTAATGGGAAATATGTATATATTTGGGACTGCAGATAAGGAGAGGAAAGACTGCAGAATTCTCATCTGTCACATAGAAAGTTAACAGATAATAGAAAAGAAAAACAAAAGGGAGATGTTATTTAGAGATACAGAGGTAAGTACAAAAAGATGTTGAAAGAAGTTGCCTCTAGAGACAGGGAGGTAGTAGAGAGAAGCGCAAGAAATGGTTTCTGGCCGGGCGCAGTGGCTCACGCCTGTAATCCTAGCACTCTGGGAGGTCGAGGCAGGAGGCTCACTTGAAGTCAAGAGTTCAAGACCAGCCTGAGCAAGAGCAAGACCCTGTCTCTACTAAAAAAATAGAAAGAAATTAGCTGGACAACTAAAAAATATATAGAAAAAATTAGCCAGGCATGGTGGCGCATGCCTATAGTCCCAGCTACTCAGGAAACTGAGGCAGTAGGATTGCTTGAGCCCAGGAGTTTAAGATTGCTCTGAGATAGGCTGACGCCACGGCACTCTAGCCCCAGCAACAGAGTGAGACTCTGTCTCAATAAAAAAAAAAAAAAAGAAGAAGAAATCATACAGCGATCCTGATCAGTGGAAAAATTTATGGTTGTTCCCATGACCTTTAAATTTTTTATCAAAACATTGAACTCTCTCTGTTTCTTATAAAGGTAAAAAAAAATGAAAAATAGTAAAACTAATACTGATTTAGTATCCTATAATTCAAAATGTTGAGCATTAACATGTTTTATTTCCTTGTGAAAACTTATCACAAGTAGTTTGAACAGTGCTTGCTAACTTCTTGTCATTTTTGTAACAGTACAAAGTAAGCATCTTTTCTTGCCTTGGCAAGTTGTCATAATCCTCTCTTAATTTGGATCCACTTCCAACTTTTTGTCCTTTGAACTTTCAGCATTGTGAAATATCTCCGAGAGTTCCTTTGGCTACATATGTAGAGTCTGTCAAACAGCAGTATCATCAACATTTCCATGGTTACCTATTTCTTCTATAGCTCAGTTTCACTTCTAGCATTAATCACCTTTCATTTATTTGCTATACTTTCATCTTTTTCTGGTCAATTCCTTCTCTAGATTGCTTATTTTTATATATGAGTTTATCACTGGGAGACAAAGAGGCAGTACAACTACATGCTTTGCTGTCTGTGCATAAACTGAAAAACAAATGTGCATCATCAAATCAACAATAGACTTTGAAAGAACTGATGTGATTGGTCACTGATATGATGAGTTTCTATCATTTATGTAATGATTTTTCTACTGAAGACAGCAACAAAATTTGTACTTTATGCAATTATTCACAGTTAATGCATTGTGGTAACTAAAATTTCAACCACATTGTTGGGGGAGGCTAATGTTATTAACTGCCATGTGACTTGTAATTAACTCACACTGGTTTTGAGCCTCGGGCCTTGTGAAGCATATGTAACTAACATGTCTCTTTACCTTGAGCCACTTGAACTATTTTTTAAGTTGCATATAACTCACGCACAGAAAACAATAAAAAATAACAAATTTTTCATTAAATTAAAAAGGATCATTTTGTTTTCGAAGTTTTTTTCTATTTTCATAATAAAACACATGGCCCCGGGGAAAAATTTTTTTTTCTAGTGTGGCAATGTTTTAAGTAACCCATGGTAACTGAAATTTGTGTGTATCTAGGCAGTGCAAAGCAAGGGCTGCCTGTGTGTATGTACCTTGAAATTATCAATCTTCTCCATATGTCTAGGCACATAATAGGTCATCAAGAAAGAAATTGTTGAATGAAGAAGGGGGGAAAAAATAGAATCCTCATGGGATAGCTATGTTGCTACATTTTTAAAAAATAAATGAATAAATGGATAGATGCTTTTTTACATGCAGTTTAGTTCTTCTGTTCTAGTGTGTATAAAAATAAATTCACGTGCTTTACTTTCAGAGAGTTGCATCCAAATTTGAAATCTTATGTGCATTACGTTACAGGCTGACCTCTGTGTCCCTCGATTGAACGAAGGGGACCAAGTTGTACTGATCAATGGTCGGGACATTGCAGAACATACCCATGATCAGGTTGTCCTGTTTATTAAAGCTAGTTGTGAAAGACATTCTGGGGAACTCATGCTTCTAGTTCGACCCAATGGTAAGTACTCTATGTAGTATTAGATATTTGTCATAATCCATTACAATTTATTACTGGACACATCAACCAGAGTGCTAACTTAAGACATGAGTCGTGTCAGTTTCCTGCTCATAGCACAATGGCTTCCATTCACACTTGTAATAAAATCCAATTTCATGGCCGCCTTTCCTCCCACTTAGCCTTGTTCACTCTCTCTATTGTATACTGGCTTTCTCGCTGTTCCTCAGATGTTCCAATCTGATTTTTGTCCTTCCTGTTCCCTCTGCCAAATACACTCTTATTAATTTCATATGACTTACACCCTCAGTTCATTCAAGTCTCTGCTCAGATGTTATCTTCAGAATCTTTTTCTCTCCGGACTACCATTAGTAAAATGGCCTCCCTTTTCCCCCAGTTGCCCTAGTAGCAGTAGTAAGTACTCAAATACTTTTGGAATGAATGAGTAAATTTGAACTCTGTTCCACCTTCAGAAAACTCCATAACAAGCTATAGTTAGAACAATTGTTTAAAAATCCTGTCTATGTTGGCCAGGCATGGTGGCTCAAGCCTATAATCCTAACACTTTGGGAGGCCAAGGCAGGAGGACCACTTGAGGGCAGGAGTTTGAAACCAGCCTGATCAAGAGTGAGACCCCTGTCTCTATTAAAAATAGAAAAAATTAGCTGGCCAACTAAAAATAGAAATAAAACATTAGCCAGGTGTTGTGGCGCATGCCTGTAGTCCAGCTACTTGGGAGGCTGAGGCAGAAGGATCACTTGAGCCCAGGAGTTTGAGGTTGTTGTGAGCTATGATGATGCCACGGCACTCTAGCCTAGGCAACAGAGCGAGACTCTGTCTCAAAAAAAAATCCTTTCTGTGTTTTTAGTAAAGATGTCTACCTGCCTAATCATTTCATCTCCCACTTTGGACAGCTGACTTGTTAATTCATAGTCATAGAGTCCCAGGTTTTGGAGAAACTTTAAACACCATAAGCTTTGGCTCCTTTGCTAATTTCATGATTTTCCTCTTCAACAACCTCAAGAACATCCTACTGATGTAGAGCACTCAGTGGCTCCTGAAGCAGTTCATTCCATCTTTGGATAACTTGAACTATAAATTGAACTAAAAGTCCATCTTCTTTCAGTTGTGTTGTTCTTAATTCTATCACTTTGTGCTATGTAGAGTAAGTTTAAACCCTCTTCCTTCAGTTTTTTGACAACAGCTAATTTTACCAGGAACTTCCCTCTACTTCTCCAGTTTATTTAGCAGTCCCAGAGCCTTCAGCCAGTATTCATATGGCATTGTTTCAAGTTCCCTCAATGCTTTATCAATCTCCTCTAAGAAGAAAGTTGTATGTGCCTGTCTCCCAGAATTAGACATATTCTTGAAGTTTTTTTCAGAGTAGTTTACCATTGATCATAGTTTTAGCCGTAGAATAATTATCATTTAATACCATGTTACTGCTTGTTGAATATGTAACACAGGAAAGTAAAATGTAATTAGAATTCTACCTATTGCCACCGCACCTAACCCTGCAAAATTTTTCAAGAAAGTTTTTATTTGGGGCCGGGCGCGGTGGCTCACGCCTGTAATCCTAGCTCTCTGGGAGGCCGAGGCGGGCGGATTGTTTGAGCTCAGGAGTTTGAGACCAGCCTGAGCAAGAGCGAGACCCCGTCTCTACTAAAAATAGAAAGAAATTAATTGGACAACTAAAAATATATAGAAAAAATTAGCCGGGCATGGTGGCGCATGCCTGTAATCCCAGCTACTTGGGAGGGTGAGGCAGGAGGATCGCTTGAGCCCAGGAGTTTGAGGTTGCTGTGAGCTACTCACTCTAGCCCGGGCAAAAGAGTGAGACTCTGTCTCAAAGAAAAAAAAAAAAAAAAGAAAGTCTTTGTTTGTTTTTAAAGGCTGCAGTGATGGCTCACACCTATAATCTCAGCACTTAGGGAGGCTAAGGAGGGAGGATTGCTTCAGGCCATGATTCTGAGACCAGCCTAGGCAACATAGTGAGACCTGTCTTTACAAATAATGTTTAAAAATTAGCCAGGCATGATGTCATGTGCCTGTAGCCGTAGCTACTGAAGAGGAATTCTAGGTTGCAGTGAGCTGTGGTCGTGCCACTGTACTCAAGCCTAAGCAACAAATCAAGACCCTGTCTCTTTAAAAACAAACAAACAAAAACTCTTCTTGTTCACAAATAAGCATTTTCATTGATCTCCATTCATGGTCTAGAATTGGCTTTCTAGGAAGATTAATAGGACTTCAACAGAACATTCTATTTTTACTTTTCAAGGAGCTTGTTCATTTAGACCTGATACTTAGGTAATCATTACTAGTCATTTTCTGTCACATAAAACTGTTTAGATTTTATTCCAGGAATAATATTATTTCAATTTTATTCTGTTTTCTCTTGATAATAGATCCTAAAGAACTTAATAATAACAGCTAATAGTTATTAAAAGCTTTCTGTGCACCTAGGGTCTTTTGTATACTCTCATTTAATTCTCAGAGCCATCCAATGAGATGAATTATCCTCATTTTAGAGTTGAAGACACTATGGCACGAAGACACTCAGTTACCTGATTAGAGATTCATGACTGATTCAGAGCCAGAATATGAATAAAAGTTCATACGAAGGCAAAGGCATGGCCTTTGACCAATTTGAAATTGCCTCATTTATACTTTAAACTAGGAGAGGTACCTACCTAGGGCCTATTTCTTACAAAAGATCTTTCTAACATTGTTTTATAGTCAAAATCTGGACCAGGACCTCTGTCTGCTTTCATTGTGGGTCTCTCATGTCCATTCTTTTTTTAAACAATTAATCCTAGCATGTCATGTCCATTCTTATTTAAGATAACATATAATCAGGCTAGACACAATGGCTCACACCTATAATCCCAACACTTTGGGAGGCTGAGGTGAGAGGATGGCTTTAGCCCACGTGTTTGAGACCAGCCTGGGCAACATAGCAAGACCTCATCTCTACAAAAAAAGAAAAATTTAATTAAAAAAATACTTAATCAAAATTTAAAATTATGTTTGCCAAGAATATACTTTTGTTTTTCTGATCTTTTGCCCTTTAATTCTTATTTCATCAGCCAAATGCAGTCACACCTCTTTGTCTTTTCATTCTTCATTTCAGAGATTTATTTTTCTCAAAAATGTTACATATTTGAGGGCCTCCTGGACAAGATGACAAGAAGTCTCTAGCTTTGCTCCATATTTTAGAAGGCCCTGCTCTGGCTCTTCTTCAGCGCTGTAACCTAGCCTCCCTTTCCAGACCACCTTCTTCAATCCTCATTTCTCTGTTCAAATAGCCTTCAGCCCACTTCCTAGGCATTTGTGGGCATTTTCCACAGGTCCCTTCTCCCGAGGGTGGATCACATGGTATGTGTACCCTAGGCCAGTAAGGTGGCTAAGAGGCAGGAGTTGGCAGAGAGGGAGGTGTAGAAGGAGCTTACATCTGAGCTGAGATATTTACATGTATGTTTATAGGCTCCCATATTAAAGACCAGAGCTGAGAGTGGGAAAAGAAGTAGGGTAAGCTACAATCCTAGGGCCTAGGGTATGACTTTCTTGATATTACCATGACCATGAATTCTGGCCTAGAAGTCTACTGGAAATCTGGCCTCCCAGGTTGTTTTGTAGATGTGTTAAGTAAAAAGGATAGAGCCATGTTTTGTTTAGCACTGTATTCAATTTTTTGGTAACTTATCATATTTAGACATGTGTTATATAGGCCTCAATTGCCCTAGGCCCCACAAAGTAAGGGAAGATATTTTCAGAGCTGCTTCTTAGCAGCTCCTCTTTTTCTTGATGTCTTTTCAAGTTATAGACATTTTCAGCTATGGCCAAGAACCCTTCTTGCCTCAAAGGTATAGGAAAGCCTGTCAACTCCACAGCTATTCTCTCTCCCTACATAGTAGCACCAGACTCAGACCTGGTGTAATTCTTCGTAAATGAATTATTTTTCTGATACAAAGAATATAACTGGTAAATTCCTATCATGTATTCATTAAGATCTCTATGTATGTTTTTGTTTTGTTTAAGCTGTATATGATGTAGTGGAAGAAAAGCTAGAAAACGAGCCAGACTTCCAGTACATTCCTGAGAAAGCCCCACTAGATAGTGTCCATCAGGATGACCATTCCCTGCGGGAGTCAATGATCCAGCTAGCTGAGGGGCTTATCACTGGAACAGTCCTGACACAATTTGATGTAAGTAATATCATTGTATATAAAAAGCATTTGCCTGTATTTTCTGATTAGTTTCATGGTTTCTTAACTGCCTAATCTATCCATTATAATTTATATGCTAAAATGGTATTCTGAGAAATGTTTGACATGAAAAGGGTTCTAAAATGCAAAGTTTTAAAAATTGCTCCCAAAATACTACTTATGGTTATATAGGTAGATGTCTGTTTTAAAAAGAGGGATAAGGAAATTTTACACATAAGTCAGCAAACTAAATTTCTTTCATAATTAAATAGCTGTTTTTATTAAAGGCAGTAGATGAGTATAGGCTATTACAGACTTTAAAATCCTGAGTTAAAGGAAAATAACTTTTATTTGTATTTAAAGTTTATACCTTGTCATATTTAATCTTTCTTTAATTTTTGTCAGTGCAGTCTTGAAAACTGGAGAAAACAAAACTCTCAAATCATTGGAAGAACAAGAATGCTTCTTGAGCATTTAGAATCCATATTTTGACCAATGAGCATAGAGTGGATTTTGAAATACTCTATTTAGACTGTATTAACTTGTTTAATTTAATAAAACTGAATGATTTTTAATCTGTTTTTAAGAATCACCATCGTTAATATTTGGTTCTCTGAACTATATGTTATAGATAAGTGTAACCACAAAACAGTTAGTTTATGGGTTGGCTTTTCTTTTAAAAAGTTTTTATTTCTTATACTGTATAAATACTACTAAACTAAATGGAAGCTCAATGTTTTCTGCAGATTTGCTATTCAAAACTTGAGGTACTTCTGCTGTAACCAAATTGTTTTCACTTGTTTTTCCATTTCTCAAAATATGATATATAATTCATGTCAGAAACTACATAACTCAGCTTTGCACATATGGTTCATTACTAGCCTAAAGTACATTATTATGTAGACTGTGTATTCTAAGGAAAAAACTTGTTTCTGTTAGTATAAAAACAAGTCTGAAAAACAAAACAGAAATTGTTGATGATGGCTTATTGAACTTGTACTTTTTTTTTTTTTTTTTAGCAACTTTATCGGAAAAAACCTGGAATGACAATGTCTTGTGCCAAATTACCTCAGAACATTTCCAAAAATAGATACAGAGATATTTCGCCTTGTAAGTATATATGGTCTCTGTAAAGTTTAATCTTTTTCTTTTTTTTTTTTTTCCGAGACAGAGTCTCACTCTGTTGCCTGGGCTAGAGTGCGGTGGCATCAGCCTAGCTCACAGCAACCTCAAACTTCTGGGCTCAAGCGAGCCTCCTGCCTCAGCCTCCCAGAGTGTTAGGATTACAGGCATGAGCCACCACGCCCAGCCAAGTTTAATCTTTTTAACATAATTTTATTAACACATTGTTTCTCTTAAATTTTTCAGATGATGCTACACGGGTCATTTTAAAAGGTAATGAAGACTACATCAATGCAAACTATATAAATGTAAGTTTATTTTATTATACCTTTGCCATTTGGAATAATAGGGGCCATTATAAACTTTGAAATACATTTCTTTTTGTTACAGGCCTAAGCTTGATAGAATATTAAAACTTCCAGACATTGAAAAATATTATCAAAATAATACTAAAGAAAGTAGGTTGGTACTGGCAAATCACTATACAGATAAAGTAGTGGAATGGAATAGTCCAGTTCAGAAATAGACTGAAATAAATACTAGAATTTTGTTTATGGTAGAATTGGCCTTTAAAAACACTAGAGATAAAATAGACTATCCAGTGAATAGGTGGTTAGGTTAACTGTCTCGAATATATCATTGTAATGAGGGATCCCCCCACCCAATTTGGGAGGGAAATAGGATAACTATTTTTTTTCCTTAACGTTGTAATATAGAAAATTTCAAATGTATAAAATTAGAGCAAAAATGTAAAATGAATCTTCATGTATACATCACTCAGTTTCAGTGACCAGTCTTACTTAACCTATATCCCCACACATCCAGATTGTTTTGAAGTGGATTCGTACGTTATATAATTCGTCTGTACTTCACCTGCTCACTCTTGATGCCAACATATATTCCAAATATATCAAAATATACATTTTAAAAATGAATCATGGAAGTACTTGAAGGAAATATGTGAGAATTGTTTAAAATCTCAGAACAGGGAAGGTTTCTCTAAGCTTAGAAACATGTCTAATTTATAAAGAAGAGATTGATGAATTTGGCAATGCAAAATTTTTAGTTTTTGGTATGCTTAAAAAGTACTAAAATCAAACGGCAAACTGAATTTTTAAAATACTGGAAAAGGCTTACTTCAATATACAAAAAGCTCTATAAATGAATGAGAAAAAGGCAGTCCAATGAAAATAATGGACTGCAAAGACAATTCATAGAAAAAGAGGGAGGGGATGGGTAAATTCACACCTAACATATAAAATGCACACTGTCTGGGGGATCGGCACACTTATAACTTCAGTTCAAATGGTACAAAAGCAAGTTATGCAACCAAAAAGTTCATTCTCCCATAGCATTCTGAATTAAAAATAAAATAAAATAATTCATAAAAAAGGAAATGCAAATGACATTTTAAATTTTATGGCCATTTTAAAATCTATACAGAAGTACAGAAAACAGCTCCATATAACTGTTACCCAACTGTAAGAGCTAACAACAAATGGCCAATCTTGTTTCATCTAAGTACTACCCTCCCCCAGTTATTTTTTAAGTCCAAATATATCATTTGTTTGTAAATAAAGTTAAAGTCTTTTTTAGCGCTGAATTAGAGACTATTGAAACATTGCCTCGGAGAAATATAGGGCTAGGTTCCTACAAGCCATCTACTCGCAACATTTTTGTCAGCTGATCAATATATAACCTTGCTTATGTTTAAAGTCACCATGTTTAATATATATTGTTGATGCATTAACACTGAACTCACAGCCTACAGCACTGTAAAGCACTCCTGAAGGAAACTTATCTGATATACATATTTTCTCCATGAGGTATATCATACCTTTCATATCATACCTATCATATCATATTCTTGCACGTGGGAACATTAGACAGCACTTCAACACTCCACTTAGGGGCCATTTTAAATAGCAAAATCACGAAGAAAAAGCACAAAAATGCAAAAAATGTGGCACTACACAGAATGCAAAAAGGGCATTTATTTACAGTATGGGAGCTGAAACAAAAAGACACAGAGTTGCCTTGTTCTTTCTCAGCTGCCAACATGCATGTTTTCAGGTGACTCAAATTTTGCAATACTCTGTGCGTGTCTACAAATGACCAAGAAAGCCCTGCAACTGTTTGGGGGTCATGAATAAATTTTAGCAAATAGTCAAATTTGTAAACCTATGACTGAGAAATAAGCTGCTTTGGAATTTACCTCTGATAACTTTTTTTTTTTTTCTTTTTTTAGCAAAACCACAATACTATTATAACACTCAGAAAAATAACAGTGTCAAACACGGTTAAATGAAAAATACACTCAATTAATGACAAAGAAAAGTGCAAGTTAAAACTGCAAGAAATTACTGTTTCACCTATGAGATTGAAAGATCAAGAAATTTGATAGTACTACATACAGTTCCACATCCTTTATGTGAAACCATGGATCAAATATACTTTGGGATTCAGAATTTTTAGAATTTTGAAAGGTTATTCAGTGCTTATAACATATACTATAATACGTAGCTATGGAACAAGTACCCTGTAATCAATATGTTGATATGCAATGGCGAACTATAGATATTCCCACTAAGTGGAACTAATGAAGCATATAAATAGTCTTAGGTCAGTTGAGGTCAGATTGTGCTGTCAAATGAGCCCAGGTTGGTCAAGTTTACAAAAGATAAAAACAAAACAAAACCTTGAATTTCAGAGCTTGAGATTGAGTTTCAGAATTGTGGATAAGGAATTATGGGTCTATTAGTGAGAGTATATGGGAGAATAAGCACTCCTCATACATTATGGGTGGAAGAATAAATTGGTGGAATCTCTTTGGAGAGCAATTTGGCACTGTCAAAATTTTAAGTGCACATATACTGTGATCCAGCATTCTCATTTCTTCTATTGCCCATACAGATATAGTTCTACATTTGTACAAAAATGTTGTTTACAAAAGTATTCAGTTTAGCTTTGTTGCTGGTAGCAAGTAGATTAGACTTAAATGTGTGTTCAATATTTTGTTATATTTATACAGTAGAGCCCTTAAAAAGAATAAAATTTTATATACTAATCTGACATCTCAAAGATAAAGTGAAAAAAAGAAATAAGATGCATAATAGCATTATAGTATGCTACCACTTTTTTAAAACAGTTTTATGAAAAATGGAAAAATAGTTTTGCATGTATATTTGTGTGTTGTGTGTAGAATATCTCTGAAAGAGAGGCCAGGCATGGTGGCTCACACTTGTAATCCTAGCACTTTGGGAGGGCAAGGCGGGAGGATTGCTTGAGCTCAGGAGTTTGAGACCAGCCTGAGCAAGAGCAAGACCCCGTCTCTACTAAAAATAGAAAAATTAGCCGAGTGTTGAGTCCGAGCTACTTGGGAGGCTGAGGCAGATCACTTGAGCCCAGGAGTTTGAGGTTCCAGTAAGCTATGATAATGCCACTGCACTGTAGCCCAGGCAACAGAGTGAGGCACTGTCTCCAAAAAAAAAAAAAAAAAAAAAAAAAAAGAAACCAGAAGAAACAGTTGCCCTCCTGGGCATAAACTAGAGGCTGGTATGGGACAAGGGACTTCTTTCTTTCTTTACCCTTTGTTTGCCTTGTGCATATATCACCTTTTTCTAAAATTTAGTCTCATTCTGAAAATTATGAATTTAAAATATTATTCTAATATCCTTTAAAATTATTTTATATATAAAGTCCAAGCTAAAACAAATGGCAGAATTTTTTTTCCTCACAAATTTTACCAAGAAGCTATTTACTGATAAATATTTTTTATTTCTTTACCATGTCTCACCCTCTGAGACAGAGTTCTCTGTAATGCCGCTCTAAAAACCATAAGAGTATTTGGGAAATAGTTAAATTCCTGTTTCCACTAATTGAAAGATAAATATATATTAACTACTGAACATTGCCAAGAGATTTCTTCTACAGATGAAATAAGAAATTGTTGATAAAGATTTTTTTTTACTGACTAGTTTATTGAGATAGTTGTATTCAATTCAACAACCAGTTAGTAGATAATTTTCATATTCCTGATGATAGCAAAAAGTAATAAAACAAAAGATTTTATTTTTATGTTCTTTTCTTTTTAGATGGAAATTCCTTCTTCCAGCATTATAAATCAGTACATTGCTTGTCAAGGGCCGTTACCACACACTTGTACAGATTTTTGGCAGATGACTTGGGAACAGGGTTCCTCCATGGTTGTAATGTTGACCACACAAGTTGAACGTGGCAGAGTAAGTCATAGTTGAATCTTTCTTTTTGTTGTTATTGTTGTCATAGTTGAATATTACACATTCCTTGGGCTTTTTCTCAAATTCTCTTGCATATATATAGTCAGAATATTCACATTAATTTAATATTTTGGCCAGGCGTGGTGGCTCACACCTGTAATCCTAGCACTCTGGGAGGCCGAGGTGGGAGGATGACTTGAGGTTAGGAGTTTCAGACCAGCCTCAGCAAGAGCAAGACCCCGTCTCCACTAAAAATAGAAAAAATTAACCGGCCATCTAAAAATATAAAAAATTAGTAAGGTGTGGTGGCCCATGCCTATAGTCCCAGCTAATCGGGAGACTGTAGCAGGTGGATCACTTGAGCCCAGGGGTTGGTGGTGCTGTGAATAAGCTGACGCCATGGTACTCTAGCCTGGGCAACAGAGCCAGACTCTGTCTCAAAAAAAAACCAATAATAATAATAATCTTTTCAACCTTTAAGCTTTTTGTGGTTTCATGATTTAAATCATCACGATTAAGTGCTTAAAACTGGGACTAACACATTGGCATGTTAGCCGTTATTATTGTCATTGTTATTATTTAAAGGGATTAATGTATATCTGATAAGGAGCTTTTATCTAGAGTATATAAAGAACTCTTAGAACTCAACAATAAAATGAGAAATAACCTAATTAAGGATTCAAATAGACAGTTCTCTAAAGAAGATATACAAATGGCTAATAAGCACGTGAAAAGATGTTCAATATCATAAGTCATCAGGGGACTGCAAATCAAAACTGTAATGAGATGCCACTTCATATCTGGTAGGATGGCTAAAATAAAAAGAACAGATAATAACAAATGTTGAGGATATGTTGAAAAAACATTACACTGCTGGTAGATTTGTAAAATAGTGTATCCACTTTGGAAGACAATCTGACAGTTCCTTAAAAGATTAAACATAGAGTTACTATAAGTCAGCAATTTCATTCCTAGATATACCTAAGAGAGTTGAAAACATGTCCACACAAAAATTTATACATATCATTCATAGCAGCATTATTCATAATACCCAAAAAGTGGAAACAAGCCAAATTTACCAAATAAAGTGTGGTATATTCATACAGTTGAATATTTGACAGTAAAAAGGAACGAAGTATACTGATACATGCTACAACATGGATGAACCTGTAAAACAATATGCTAAGTGAAAGAAGTCAAAAAGATCACATATTGTATGATTCCATTTATATGAACTGTCCAGAATAGGCAAGTCTGTAGGGACAGAAAGTAGATTAGTGGTTGCCTAGGTCCAGGATTGGGGGAGGGAGATGATATGGGAGAGAATGCACAGTGACTACTAATGGGTATAGGTACTTTATGAGTGTAGTGAGGATCTTCTAAAAGTGATTGTGGTGATGGTTGCACAGCTCTGTAACCATGTTAAAACGAGTGTACACTTTAAGTGGGTGAATTGTATGGTATATCAAGTATGTGTCATTAAAGCTGTTAAAAAATCTCAGAAATTTAATCAGGATATTCGCAGTCTCAAAATGTAGCCAAACAGATTACTCATTATTACAAAGAGAAAAGAGTGACAAAGAAAAAATGTTATTGATTGGCAGAGCCAAGTGAAGGGTATATGAGATTTTGTTAAATTATTCTTGCAACTTTTCTTGAAGTTTGAAAGTTATTAAAAATTTAAACATCTTAAAAATTGAGGAACTTAAATCCATATACATAGTTTAGTTTATTTACTTATTTATTTAATTCTATTGACATCAGGTTAAATGTCACCAATATTGGCCAGAACCCACAGGAAGTTCATCCTATGGATGCTACCAAGTCACCTGCCACTCGGAAGAAGGAAACACTGCCTATATCTTCAGGAAGATGACACTATTTAACCAAGAGGTAGGGAAACAGGATATCCATTCATTAGAATTATTGTGTTCAAGGTAAAAACTCTGAAAACTCAAAATGTTTTTAGTCTGAATACTAGTTACCAGGAAATATAAAAATTTCTGAACTCTTTTTCCTGCTCTAATGGGATACTCTGAAATTTTATGAAGAGTATTCTCCTATAATAAATGTACTTCTAATTTCTATAGCTGAATATGAATGGTCAGTGAAAAAGGAGTCTAGTAAATAATACTTATTACTGTTACTACTTTGCCTACTCATAACAAGTATACCAGGGGTGTGTTTGGTTATAAAAAAATTCTTACTCCCAAAAATACCATTGAAATATTTGGGTATTTCTGTGGATGTGGAAAACTTATTGAAAGCTGTCTCATTATTTCCTTTTTTTAAAAGAGGTAGAGGAGAGCAATTTCATAGTCCCCTCAGAATTAAGGAGGAAAAGGTCATAGGCAATGCCTTCTTAGAGCAGACAGATTGTAGTTTTCTAATTGCCAGCTCTTAGTTCTGCCTGGGTCATTCCCCTTGGCTTCTAAATCCAAAACCAGAAATGGAAACTGATTAATAAATGATGGCTTAGTACCCCAATTGAAAGATGTGTGTAGAGAGCATCATGCTGCCAGTCCTGTTAGGCTGCTAGAGACAGTGCACCCTACTTTCACTGCCTGCAGCTAGATACTCCCCTCCCAGCCACCTTTGGTGTTGAAGGTGACTGAAAGAAGAGAAAAGCAAACGGCACAAGCTATTAATATGAAGGCCCAGGCCTATCCCATCAACGGTAAAGCCTTTGAAAATGGGAACTCCACCCTCACCCCGAGAGTATGATTGAAGGAAACCAGTGCAACAGAGCTTTATTAACCAAAAGGAAAGGAGCCAGAAGTTGTGTTAATTTATAGAAAAGGCATCTGTCATTGAATGAAGCTAAAGTTACAAGAAATACAAAATATAAATTTCAAAATCTTACAGGCTAGATATTTCCTCAGAATGAATTAAGGGTTTGGGGGCATATACTATATAGCTAATGATCTAATGTAGCAGGTCAAGCCAATAGTTCATTTTCCCAAATAGTTAATGAAAGGTAAGCTGTGTGTGTTTATATCTATCAGCATAGTTTCTCCATTGTACTCCACCTATAGATTTTCCAAAGCAGTTTTCTATACCATGGTGGCTGTTCTTTACAGAGCCCGAGTGCCTTGAAGTACATATACTAAGACACATACTAGTTTCTAAAGTTTGAACGACACGTAATTGGGAAAATAAATTTGCTACCACAAATAAATATAAATAAATATAAGATAAATATACATGGATGAATTGACCAACAAAGAGACACTACACCAAGTCTTACCTTTTACTTTCATGGTCTTTTCTGGAAGCTCCCTTTAATGCAAATGACAATAACCAGATTCTGTAGTGTTGAGTGACTGTAGCAACCAATTAATTATTGAACATATAGTGCCAAGTAGTTAATTGGGTGATTTACTGGTTCTCTCATGGAATCTTTTTAGTATGAGGCAGTCCTTTGAGGTGTGGATGTTATTTCATTTTTCAGTTGAAGGAAACGAGGCTCTGGAATATTAAATGCCATAACTGGCAGGGTCAAGTTTTGAACCAAGATGTATCTAAACCCAATGCTCTTACCCTTTATAATATACCAACTATTGGCTCCCAAAAGAATTAATTCCTGATTTTACTTCGTGTTTTTATGGTCTCCAGTATGTAATCTACATTTATCTTGAAATTTTATTTTTCTAATTTCCATAATTTTATCTGGATTTTATCAGGATTAGTCCAAGTTGATTCACAAAAAATGTTTTTCACCCTATCATTTTTGTTCACCCAACAATTCTTTAGTTTTCTTTAAGCATTTTTTCTGGATTTAATTTGTTTCTGCCTGATTACTTTACAAATATAGAAATTGATTTATAAAAGGAATAGTGATGCAGGTAGCCAATGGATACTTACATGGATACAACTGTTTCTATAAAATGGTTTTTTTTCCTATTCATTGAAATTTTGTGTTTTAGTGAGTTTATATATTAGTATTTTGGGGGGAAGAGGAGTGGTTGGTTTACTTTCCTTCTAAAACTAAAATGACATGAATATTTATATTTTAAAGATAATTCTTAAGTCAAAGTACATAATTTTTCATTTGTACTTAGAAAAATGAGAGTCGTCAAGTCACTCAGATCCAGTACATAGCCTGGCCTGACCATGGAGTCCCTGATGATTCAAGTGACTTTCTAGATTTTGTTTGTCATGTACGAAATAAGAGGGCCGGCAAGGAAGAACCTGTTGTTGTTCATTGCAGGTATACTGTCTCCTGTCTTTTATGAATATGTAACTGACTATGTCATTTTAAAAAGGGAGTATGTATTTTATTTTGTCCTTATATTGTTAATTGTCACTATGATAATTAGAATGCAAAGCTATGCTCTGATGATAGAAGACAAAGGGTATGTTCTAACATATGATTGGCAGTAACTTTATCATGAGGTAAAAATAATACCCATTGCCCTGATTCTTGAAGATCATCCTTTTCGTATTTTAATGTCTTTGAAATTTATCTTACAATTTATGGTAATTTAGATTTGATGAAATACAATATTGTAGGCTTAGTCCTACAGTCCTATAGCCTTCTGCTATAACAAAATATTTGAATCTAGGTAATTTATAAAGAACAGAAATTTATTTTTCACAGTTCTAGAGGCTAGGAAATCCAAGATTCAAATTCAATGTATGAATTTTGGGGGACACATTCAGGTCATAGCATAGGCATTAGGTTGCACCCTAGGTTTAGATTCCCTCCCTCCCGCCAAGGTACTCCTTCCTTGGCTGTGGCCCCTCTTAGGACATTCATTGAGTACTCCCACTTCTCTAGGAATGATCCTACCAAGTGTTATTATAGGATGTGCCACTTCCAAGACCTCTAGTTGAACAGTGGCAGTCTACCCTTCCTTTCAGATCCAGATCTGCTTCTGCCCTCAAAGGACCAAGTATAATAACTCCAACCTTCACTGCCACTGACCCAGAGATTAGGAGATAGTAATTATTTCCTCCCTATTTTTACCACCTTTGTTAAGTGATTTATTCAGAGGATAAGTGATTTATTCAAAGGATATATCGAGATACCTTTTTATCCTCAAACTTTCTAATGCATTTTAGGAGTAGGCTTTCGGCCGGGCGCGGTGGCTCACGCCTGTAATCCTAGCTCTCTGGGAGGCCGAGGCGGG